ACCGAGAAGTTGTCCAACGAAGACTTCTATGATCTCTCCAACCAGTCGGTCGAAGATCGCCAACATACACCGTTGGAAGGTCGCCGGTGCATTACATAGCTCGAATGGAATCCTCCAGTAAGCAAAAGTACCAAAGGGGCAAGTGAATGTGGTCTTCACTTAATCATCTGGCGCGATGGGAATCTGGAAATATCTAGACATGCCATCCAGGAAGCAGTAGAAATCATGACCAGCCAACCTCTCTAGCATATGATCAATGAAAGGTAGGGGAAATGGTCCTTCCTAGTGGTGTCGTTCAGGCGCTAGTAATCGATGCAGACTCTACATCCAGTCACAGTCTGCATCGGGATAAGCTCGTTCTTTTCATTCTGGACCACAACCATCCCGCCTTTCTTCAGGAGCACCTGGGTGGGATTGACCCACTTTCAAACAGATATAGCAAAGATTATACCTACATCCATCAATTTCACAATCTCTGCCCGGACCACTGCCTTCAAGCTAGGAGTCAATCTCTGCTGCGGCTGCCTGACTGGCTTAACCTCATCCTCCATCAGAATTCTGTGGGAGAAGAAGGATGGGCTAATGTCTCTGATGTGAGTTATCTTCCATGCCATGGCCCGAACATACTTCTTCAACAGAGCCACCAGTCTGCTCTTCTGATCGGGGGTCAGCTCCGAACTAATAATGATCGGGAGCTTATTTACCTCCCAGAGAAATGCATACTCCAGGTGAGAGGGGATGGGCTTAAGCTCCAGCTCTAGTGGCGATCCAGGGCGAGATAGGGATCGGCTTGAATGGCTTCTCTCATCCCTCGATCGCAGCCTCTTCTAGCTCTGCGAGCTGCTCCTCCAGCTGCAACTCCTGCGATGCCTGTTCCCCTAGCAAAAGACAACGCTCAAGGAAACCGTCAGTACCCGCACTCGTGATGGCGAGTGCGGTCTCAAAATCAGCAATAACATCGCAGTAATCCAGATCATCATGAAGATGTGGGTGTTTCATATTATCAGAAACAGAGAAGGTTATTTGTTCACCCCCAACCCTCAAATTAATTTTCCATCATTCACATCAATAAGCGCCTTGGCGATGGCGAGAAAAGGTCTACCCAGAATTAAAGACACCTCCACATCCTCATTTATGTCAAGAATAACAAAATCAACAGGATATGAAAAGGGCCCTACTGCGACTATCAAGTCCTCTGCAATGCCCCTAGGATGCACAATGGACCTATCAACTAGTTGAATGCTCATCCTAGTATTACTGGGTTCACCTAGGCCTAGATTTTTAAACAGTTTATATGGCATTACGTTTATGCTAGCCTAAATCCGTCAAGGACTTCCCTTATGCAAACCACCAAGCATGCAAGGGTAGTAAAACTCCCTAGGTCTTTGCGCTTCTCTGGTAGCTTGTTCTGCAGGATGGCAGAACACTCCTCGTTGAGCATCACCGTCGATAGCTCTCCAAGCTTCCTCTTGTTGGTGAGGAGATCCTTCATGAATTTAGCATGCTTGGGCATCTTCGACAATGCCTCCAGGAAAGGCATAATGATGTTCACCTGCTTTAGCATTGCCATAAACTTGGCAAACTCAGTCTCCAGTCGGTCTTTGTGCAACCGAGTAGGAGAGGGAAGTTTAGAGACATACTCCTTCACCACTGGTTGTGCCTTAAGAGCAGGCACCTCAATCTCCTCCTCCATTTCTTCTTCATTAGCTGGAAGTGCTGAAGCTGGTTTCTCTCTCTCCTATCGGGCCTGGACAGGTGGATCTGTAGTCACTTTCCCTCTCATGGTAGTAATGGCCTGGCAGTGTTCATTTGGGTCTTACGGATGGGGAATGGTCTGACCGGGTAAAGTACCCTGAATCCTCTATGCTACAGCCTGTGCCACACTTCCGAGCTGGGTCTGGATATCCCGCAGTACAACCTGCGTGTTTGTCTGGCCAGCTTCAAGCTCCAGGAATTTACCTGAGACTTTCTCCATGAACTTCTCGATGTTGCTGAACTTATTGGCACTGGAAGTGACCAGAGAACCCACCAGATCTCCCAAATCGGCCATAGTATCGCTCCGTACTAGGATTGCGGGAGCTGCACCTGGCTGCTGAAATGGCCTCATCTGTGACAAAGGAGGAACTTGCCCCTATCTGGGCGGATAGAGAGGCTGCTGTTGTTGCTGGAATTGCCCTTGTCTTGGCTGGTAAGGAGGTCTCTGAAAGCCTGGGGGTCCCTGGGAGACTAGTGGCTTAGGATTATTTCCACTGCAGGAGAAGTTGGTATGCTGGTGCCACCCCTCGTTATAAGTGTTGCTGTAGGGGTCGAAACGCCTGACATTGCTGATGATGTCCAACTACTCCTGGGGTGTAGTCGACTCCCTCATCGCCTGGCAGTCTTCTACAGTATGGTGGGAGCTCTCGCACCATTGGCAACGCATTACCTGATGTTGTCCTATCCCTGGAACCATCCCAGTATGATCGATGGCCGAGACCAGCTTAGAAACAACCTGAACCAAATAAGATGATTGGGTGTCCATAGCATGTACACCCCTGCCTGGTACTCGCCTCGCTCTCTTAGTTGTACCCCAATCATATCTTTGCTCTGCCATATCCTCAAAGAGTCAATTTAACTGCGGTGGCGTCTTAGTCAGCATGTTCCCGCCATAAACCGAGTCAATTAGCTGCTTGTCTTAGGGGAAGAGGGCGTGGTAGAAGGTGCCCACCTTGAAGGCGTCATTGAAACCATGATTGAGACACTTCAAAAAGAGACTAGTGTATATCTTCCAAGCATCCCGAATGGTTTCATCCTCCTCCTGTGCAAAATGAGTGATCTGCTTCTACAGGTCCGCTGTCTTTGATGGAGAATGATAGCTAGTGAGGAACTTGTCCGCCAGATTGGCGAAATCGATCCCGGAGGCCGAGTGTCCAGCCACTCCTTGGCTTGCCCCTCCAGAGTGAATGGGAAGTATATCAACTGAATCGCATCGGCAGGGACCCCATTTATCTTGATCCCATCAATCAGCTCATGGAATCGCCGAAGGTGCGATCTGGTACAATCCCCCTCCTTTCCATGGAATACCACCTAGCCGCGCAACATGGTGATGACAGAGGTACTCAGCTGAAAGCTGTTGGCATCAACTTGAGGGTTTTAGATGGGGGACCTCATGTCTGCGGCGCAGGCGGTCCAGTAATAGCCCATGGTATGCTCCTCGAGAATGACCACATCATTGTTCTGTGGTTCACCCATTTCTTCCTTCTCGGTGATGTGCAGTTTCTCCAAAGCTTCCTCCGCAACCAGTCGTGCCTTCAAAGTCCGCTTGAGGATACGACAGGTTCGTTCAATCTCCTGGTCCAATGGCAGTAGATCTCCCGACTAGCTACGGGTCATGCACTACCTGCACGCAATCAGCAAAAGCAACCCGTGAAGGCACACGGGTGGAAGAGAGTAAATGCAGTAAATAAAACGCTAAAGTAACAGATTTTCACGTTTCTACAATAACCTAGAGTTCCCCGGCAACGGCGCCAAAAACTTGTCACGCTATGACACAACACCAAACTACGACCAAGTATAATCGTAGTCCAGAAATGCATAATAGTGGTCAGTTTAATTTATCAACTCGGGGTCTTGATCTACTGCCTACTGCGTGATTATCTATTATCTAGCAAGACTAAGTGAGTGAAGTTGAATTCAAAGTAAATCAGAAAGAAAGCAGTAAATAGTCCGGTTTCCTGAAGCAAGAGAAGAGTCACTCGGGAATGAGTCCCCCTAGCTCCTTAGTTAGATCCAAGTTGTAATTTCTTTAGGTGGATTTACTGTTGATTAAACTGCAGAAGATACGACAGTAGCTTGGAATCTCTTAAGCTGACCAAGCCCTCTTAGACAGACTAAGCGGCAGACGACTAGTCTTCACCAAGATAGAAAGCTAAGGCAGTTAACACAGAACTCCACTACTGGAATTGGATTCCATTACAAAGCAATGGATTGACTAACTCTCGTATAATCAATCCACTTCTATCAATAGAAGAAGCTCTAACAACCTAATCATATTCTATCTATCTCAGGTTGCAGCAGAAATCATGAGAATTTGATCAGGATTCAATTGACTCAATAAACACACTTCAATCAATTATAATCAAACAGTATATCAATCCAAAAGTCATTCAACTCAAATCCCTAACACATGGAACTAGAATTCTTCATACCGAAATGAGAGAAAGGTCTACTCCATAGAGAGAGAGTGGGGAAAACAGAATTCAAAGCAGTCATACTCATAAAGATGGGAATAATATGCTCTAGGATGTCGATCTTCACTCCTGGGGATTCAATCTGAGCTTTAATGGTGAGAAATCCACTCCAAATAGCTCCTAGGGTTTGTTCTTCGGACTTTCTCTCTCTAGAACTCTGTTTTTGCACAAAAAGTCGTATCCCCTTCCTTTGGCTCGAGTCTGCCTTGTGGATGATTTCCCTTGGCGTCGATAACCAGATCTGTCGCCAATGTCGACACATAGCCTAGCAGTGGCCCAAGGTAATACATCAGAAGGTCGGTTTTCTTCTGTACGTGAAGGATTTTTAGGTTGACAGAGCGATTTCACCCTTTCGTCTAATGCTCTCTTTCCTTTTTGCGGACTTTCGTACACGATTGCCGGTAACCAGAGTGGTGTCAGATACGACACTGTTTCAATGGGATCGAATGTGGCAAGAATCGCCAAACAATCCCCCAAGCTGTGTCCGGTCAAAATCCTCACCGGCGTACTGGGCGTGGTGGCCGTGAAATTGATAAACCGCGTTGGTAAAATTAAATGGGATTTTGTGAAGTTTTGGAAAATGAAAAATAAAATAGATAGTCAATGAGGAGACAGCATGTGGAGGGGTAGCAGGAGCAGGCGGCAACCTAGGTTGCAGCTAAGTATTACCCAAAGAAGATTCTCCAGCCTTCAGCTTGAGTACGATCCACCTTCCCTGTTGCTTTTATCCATTCTACCAATGCTTTAATCACTCTCATGCAAATACATTTAGCTGAACATGCTTTGTCATTGAAGATTGGCAAAATTCATCTGCGTAGCCAAAACTTTGACGTTTGTGACAATAATAGCCACTTTTGAGGAAATACCAATAATAGCCAGAATTTTGAAAGTTTCATGACAATAATAGCCATTTCCGATACATAATTTAATAGTGTTAGTGACACCGTCAGTCAAATTAACGGATTCGCTGACCTGGCTTCCAACTCAGCCTCTCTTTCGTTTCCACCTCAGCATTCATTAACAGGTGGATGACACGTCATTTAAAAAAATTCCCCCATCCCTAATCTGATCGAACCCTCTTCTTCTCCCCCAATGTTCGATCCCAGCCTCTCGATCTTCCCAAACTTACCCCAATCCACAATTCGAGTCGTCGCCTTCGCATAACTCTTCTTCCCATCTGATTCTAGGCCGACGTCGTCTTCGTCAGGGACAGAGGAATCCTCTCCACGGAATCGATCTTCCCCCGCTACACTGTTCGCCATCGTCTCCCACTACCGGCCTCCAGAACCGTCGATTCTGTGTTTTGGTCGCGGACAAGATGAAGCAAAGAGGATGGCACCGGCAGTGAAGAGAACAGGTGTCGGCTCTCCGCTGTTGTCTACACCGCCGCCGGGCTCCTCTGCCTCCGTTCGCGCCTGGATCGCTTCAGGAACACCAGGAATAAATACCCCTTGTTTTGCATGACTGTGGAGAAGTTCGTCTTCTCGGTGACTGTGAAATCCTCTGCTGAACTGGGGTTCAAGCACTGGAAATCTTCAAAGCCCAGATCTTGCTGCAGCTGGTTTTGTTGAGGATACTTCACAGAAGCCATAATTTCGCTCCTCAAGCTTTATTTCAAGACTCTGACTTCCATGAATTAGAATTTCATTTCTAAATTTCACCCACAAAAAACCAACCCCACCAAATTGAACAACAAGAACAAAAGAAACAGAGGAAACCGAAGAAGCTGCAGAGGAGAATAAAAAGAGGTGAGCGAGAGATGGAAGTGTACCTGACAAGGAAGCGACTGAATTGAGGGGAAGAGGAAGAAGTTGATGAAAAGGAAGAAACTTTAATATAAAAAAGCTCTTTAATTAGAATTCTAATGGGGTTGGACTCCTGTGTGTTTTGTTATTGTTGGTTGGCTTCCCCCCGCATCGTAAGGAAGAAGAGAGGAAGAAGATTGAAGATTTGCAGATCTGTTCGCGATGGTTGGGGGAACGGAAGGTGAAAAAACCGAGAGGGAGAGAGAGATAATAAAAAATATATTTTATTATTTTATTTTATTTTTTCTGCTAATTTCACATCATATTTTTATTAACTAAAAGGTTGACATGTCAGCTTTTCCGTTAGTCCAGTCAACACGTTAACTAACACTGTCAAACAATTTGACGGAAGTGACTATTTTTGGTATTTCGCCAAATATGGCTATATTTGGCCAAATCATTAAAGTTTTGGCTACACAAGTGTATTTTGCCTTGAAAATTTTATCGTTCCTTTCCGACCACAAAAAACAACATATTGCATGGAGCACACTTGCTCTAAACCAGCCTGATGGCAAAGACGGGTACGTGAGGGCCACTGGCGAATTACATCTGATGTCACCAAGCTGATGCAGTGATGCCCCCCTCTTGTAAAAAGAAGAAGAAAATTCTCTCTACCAAATCGAATATGAGATTTCCATTTCATCTAGAGATCTAGAGTTTGGAATCGATAACCTAGTACAAACCAGATATAAATATGACAATAACAACATTTAATACAGCTCCGAATGAGCAATTCCGACTTGAAAACCTCCATTTGATACCAAATCAAACTGGAAGGACCGGAATGCTCTGCTCATGCCTGAACAAGTTGCTAGGATCGAACTTGGTCTTCACTTGAACCAACCTATCGAAGTTGTTCTTGAAGTACTTCCGACCCCAAACACTTGCCTCGCTAAAACTAGTATTGCCCTTCTTGTTCATCCCCAAATCCAGATCCCTGTAGTTGACATACGAAGTCCTCGGATTCTTAGAAACATAGGGAGCCAAGTAGCTGTACAGCTCCCTGATCCAATCCAAGTGTTTACCCTCGCTCACCTTCCCGTCTGCCCAACCCGTTGCATAATGAAGCATGAACAATGTCCCCTTCCGATGAGGAAACGGCGTCGCCGATTCCGAAACTCTGTCCATCTCCCCGCCGTAAGGAGTCCATATCGCAAACGGATTGTCCTCCTTCAACAACCTCCTCCACATCCCTTCCAGCGCCTTCACCGGAATCGGCTCCCTCACGTAGTCCGACTTGGCCTTGAAAAACAGCGGGGTCAGAAACCACTTCCCCTGCAGAAGAAACTCGGGAGCAACGGTGTTGGGTATTCCCCCAATAAACATAACGGACCGGATCCAGCTCGTCTCCAAACAATCCTTTTTCTTCAGACCCAATTCCGGAAAATTGGAACCCATGATTCTCAGTAGCCGATCGGAACTACCCAGAAACAGGGCGTTGAACGTGGCTGTGACGGTTCTCTTGGTCGAATTAGCAATCGGGCCGGCGCTGACCACAACCCTAACAAATAGGTCTTCGTGGAGATGAGGCGCGACTTGCTGCCACTTGAAGAGAAGCTTGGTAGCGTTCTGTTCTAATGTCCTGGGAACGTCGAACACCGTCACGGTTTTAGGGACGGGGACTAATTTCAACTTCCAGGCGACAATCACGCCGAAGCTACCCCCGGCGCCGCCTCGGATCGCCCAGAAAACGTCTTCCCCCATTTTCCGACGATTCAGGAGCTTGCCGTTGGCGTCAATTATGTGGGCATCGAGGACGTTGTCAGCTGCCAGGCCGTATTTTCTCATCATGGAGCCGTATGCTCCGCCGATGATGTGGCCGCCGATTCCCAAGCTGGTGCAGAGCCCGGCGGGGAAGCCGTGGGTGGGGATTTTTTGGGAGATTCGGTAATAAGCCTCGCCGGTGGTGGCGCCGGCCTGGACCCAGGCGGTGTTGGAAGCGACATCCACATTGACTTTGCGGAACTTGGAGAGATCTAGAACGAAAAAGGGGGACTCGATTTCGGCGGCGTAGGAGAGACCCTCGTAGTCGTGGCCGCCGCTGCGAACTCTGAAGTGGAACCGGCGCTTTCTGGCGCAGATGACGGCGGCTTGGATGTGGGAGATGCGGAGTGGGCGGAAGATGAGTAGGGGCTTGGGGACGGTAGGGAGCAAGTAGCGGGGGTTCTGAGCAGGGTTTGAAAGGACGGAGGTGAAAGCAGAGGAATTGGCGGCAGGGGTGAAGAAAGTTTCGGAGAATGGGAGTGGAGATTTGGAGTTATCGTTGAGACATTGGTGAAAGGTGGATTCACTGGATTGCCATGAAGGTGGAAGTGAAGATGCTACAAGGGAAGGTGAGAGTAGAGGAAGAAGAAGAATGAAGAGAAGCAGAGGAGGTGCCATTTTCAACGCGAGCAGGTTGTGGTAGATCTTGATAGCGAGTTCTCCAGTCAAATCGGCTATGGATGGTGCTTATATAGCACATGTGAGAACATGTTCACAGTGCTTGCCACGAGTTGAATTTGAGGTGAACAATATAAAAATGTTGTCATGTTCATCCAACGACTTTAAAGCATTCACTCGCGATCCGACGAAAGGCGTTGTGACTTGTGAGCACATTCTTATCGCTCCTTGAATTTGAAATGGACACTTAGCAGCTATCATACGGATATAATGAGTTCCTATTTACGAAATGTCACCAAGTCCATCCATCAACTCTAAAACATCTGACCCAATCCGATGAAAGCAAAGCGCTCTGACCACATTCTAACAAACTCCCTATGACTTGCAACGTTTGAGGCGTAATCCAGAAAGTAACAATACCTCAGCATATTCGTTTACTTTCATCAATAGATGAGAGTATAAAAGGGAGCTTGATAGAGCCATTTCAACAAACATGGAAATAAAATAATTTGGAGCATACAGGCAGCAGCCATCATGACCAGCAGAAGGCCTGCTGCCTTTACTTGCTTCTTACAATTCATCATACTAACGTATTTAGCTATTTACGGTACCTTTCTTTTTTTAAAAATAGATAAATCGTAAATCGGTAGAAGAGTGAGTACAAGAGAATATTGCAACGTAATTGAGACAGTAAATAATGCCAATGAAAGAGCCCTTTTACGGTACCCATTCACCTACCGCCTACAGGAATAATTTAAATTTGTATTACCATCTATGCCGAATTCAGGTGAACTTGAGGTTAAAAAAAGCTCTGCTCCACCCAAAAGCCCAACGTTACTCGGAAACCGCAAAATGCCCTGACAAAAATTTACAGTTATGCTCAGTGCACAGGAAAAATGCAAAATTAAGAACGGGATTAGCAGAGCATCTCCAGCGCCACTACTCCTCAAGCTCCACCGAAGCCGTAAAAGAGCTAATGCCGAAAGGTTTCTGGTCAAAAAAATCAACTGCGATCCCCCATTGCAGAAGTCATGAGCCTGCAATCTGAGATTGTAGGAAGCTGAGAGAGGTGGTACGTTGATCCTTGCTCAAACGACAAATCCAGTCTCTGACAAGACGTATCACGTCAGGCTGACCTGCAGCATCTGCCAAGCAACTGAAATTCTCATCAGTGACCTGCTCAAAGCCGAGAGGTTGAAGCCTAAGCAGAGATGCGACGGTGGCCATTTGAACTGGGATAATAGATTCCTTGGTCAACTGTTGGCGCAAGAAGCCAGATAGTTTGCTTTTCAGGCTCTCGACTCCTGCATCTTCGTAACCAGAAGCAGCAACCCCAAACCTGAACAATGTGAAATACGGAACTGTCAGCAGATTATTAAGCAACAGCCATGTTATAAAGTATAACTCCTACATAAGGATATCATTTGTGACTCCTGAATGAAATGTTTGTTAAGTATCATCTGTAAAACTTAGTGAAAAGATGGTGCTTCCATTTAAGGTTTACAAAGGACAATTGTCGAATTCACACGACGGGAAATAGCAATCTTGGTATTTAAGTATAAAAATCCAGGATGTAGAGTAGGCACGTTGACTTCTGAGTATATAAAAGAATGATCAGCAGAAATAACAATAGCATAGATGTGGTGGTGAAATACCTCCCAAGTTGACCAATGAAAAGAAGAACAGCAATCTGGAAGGTGCTTGACAGAGGTCTCTCCATCATTTCCAGCAGCTCGGGCACTATTTTGCTTTGCGTCCATTCCCAACCCTTCATACATAGAGAACGCAGTTAGTACTTGGTACAATATAAGCCTTCAGAAGAGCCAAAAACAAACTTTCAGTGGCTACTAGTTCATATCCAGACTCATAGCAAACAGAAGAGAATTAAATGAGTATTTCTCAACACACGAGCTGCACAAAATTAAAAAACAAAACGAAAGTACACCAAAAGAAAGAAATGGAAAACTAAGGAAACTGCATACCATCTTGCAGGCCACAAGCTCCAATAATGACAAGACATTGCTTGTATCACCTAGTGTCGCATTCATGATAGAGTTTGACTGACTAATACCTGAGTCAACTTCATAGTGCTCACGATACACTACATTGGCCTCAGAAGAGCTATTTGATTGCCTTCTATGCTGTTGTATGGCTCCAGAATCAACAGAACTCCAGAGTTTTTCCAGTAGCACAGATGTAACTATATCTACCGATACTGCGCCAAATGGGCATTTCGTGCATCCGTCAAACTGAAGTCTAGTAGCTTCATTGGATGAAAGACAAGTATGAATTGGAGTAACCCGTGAACTTCTTTCAAGCCAGCCTACTATTGATCTCACCACATTCATGGTCAAACCATAGTCGCTAACAGAGAAATACTGTTCCCCAACGATGCGAGCAAAGACATGAAGTATGGTCAATAGACGAGCAGCATCACATCCAGATTTCTGTAAAAGATTGAAGGAAGTGTCACAGACAAACTCGACATGCCCAGTTGATACACAGATGGACGATAGCAAAGCACTCCCGATCAGCAACTGCTCCACTGTAGCTAATTTAGTGGAGAACTTCGGCTCTTTGTCACAAGGTACAACATCGCATTTTGAATTCCACTCATTCAATGTCTCTGAAGATATATTGCTGTAATCAACAACTGTCCCGTTGATGAGAAAATCCTCAATGGTGCCAAGCAGTTCATGCAAAGAGCACACTCCCCCAAACAAGCTTCTTTCTCCAGAAATTGATGTCACTGTTGAAATTGGAAAGAGGGAAGACTTAGAACAGCAAGCTATATTTGGCTACATTAGAACAAATTAAGCACCAGATTTGGGTGGATTTATTTGTTTCGTTTAGTTTTTTTTATCCCTAATATATAAATTGAAAAAGTAACTCAAACAAACACTTCAACTCTAAATTTGTAGAATAACTCTTCATGATGGGCTCCGCAAATTATTAACGGGCCAAATCACTAAAAAATTATCATTTTCCAATTTTGACCTCTTTGAAGTAAGAATTTACTCTCAAAGTTACACCAATGATATACCAATGATATAGTTTTCGAGGATATGGTTTGTTTATCACTAAAAAGTAAAAACAGTGCTTCTATAGAAAAGAAAAACTCCACTTTTTATGAAACCTTACAGAACACTTATTTTATTCTCGTCTTAAGACTAAAGCTGAACATTAAGGAAAAGATTAATCAAACACAACGCAAAATGGTAAAGAAAAAGATCGCGGTAAGCTACTAAATGTAACAAAATGATGCACATTGCGAAATGACAGCAAATACCTGGTTTTAAGTCTCTGACCAAGGAATCTACATGAACAGTCAGATCCCTATATCCAATCCTTCCCGAATCCGCCAACTTCAACGCAGAGAAGTTCCACAGCAACAATGTGAAGAGTACACAACTTCTCTCCCTGGAAGAGATGATGTGAAGGTGAGGATCAGATAATACAGTCAACATCAAAAACTCTCCAAGAAAGATAACATTGTAACCTTGTTGCTCATCAGTTACCTTGATGGCATTGTTCCCTGCGTTGTGACAGCTTGCAGGATTCTCTCCAGCATGGAGTTTGCTCGAGTATTTGAGCTGCAGTGAGCCATACAAGCTCGTGTGGCATGTAAAACCTGGTAAATGCTTCGGGTGTCAACAACAGAAGTTACACAGTATGCAGGAATATGTGATGTCTCAATTCCGTATCTAGAGTCCCGAGGCCAACAATCCATAGACTTTTCTGCTTCGACAGTTTGAACACGGACATCACGAATTACACCATCATTCTCAAGCATAGAGTCTTCATGGGTGGTTGTAGGGCCATTGCCTCTTGATGCATCGCAGTGCATTTCTACATTAATGGCAGGAGTCAAAGACTCATTTTTATCAAGGACGCTTCGAATCTCAATCTTCCTTGACTCATCCTCACATGATACAAAAGCTTGGGAAGAATATATATCAGGAAGCGTAGGGGACAGAGGCCTGTTCATTGCATTCTTGTAGATTTCTTCCTCATTGATGTCATCTAAATCCAGTAATTTCATGTAGTTCCCATCAGCTATACCCTCAAAACTGGGCGAAGTGTCCCCACGAGCCTGCGCCATCGTGATAAAAGCATCATTGGGATAAGAATATCCTGTACCGTTTGCCTCATTCACAACTTGCTCCCTCACCATTTTCCTGTTGCCAGGTTCATCCACAGCAAGAAAATATGGCAAAACTACATCCTCCTTGGGAGATAACTTTCTCCTCTTGTGCAGCCTCTCATGTTTAACAGAAGAACCATATAGAATGACGGGATCAAAATCTGTTTGCGCTTCCAGAGGTACATCCTTTTGGCCATTCAACACTTGATCCAAGACATGAATTTTCTCATTCATCTGTAGATGCAACTTCTTATCCTCCATGAATAAATGCTTGACAGATTCAATAGTATCAAAAGCCAATTGGTCCTTCCAATTGTGATGATTACTGGTAAGAGTCATGTTTTTATGCAACCCCTTAACCGCAGCAGACATAAAGGGAACTGTCTGTTGGGTGTCAAAATTATCTTCAACCAATTTCTCAGATGATAAAACAAAAGCACCCCTGTCCTGTGAGCGGACCAACTCACCATCAGAAAAAGATGTCGAACTCGAATTCATTGCAGAATGTGCTAACAACTTTGGGCTAGAGCTTCCATGCAGAGACTTCAATTGAGAATCAATACCTGTGCAACTGGGGTTGAAAGTTTCACTTCCATTTTGAGTATTCATTTGAAATGGTTCAACGCGACATGATTTTCTCGCCACCTTCAAACATTGTACATCTCCAAGTCCTCCATCCTGAAAAGCAAAAAAACCAAACAAGTAAGCGAACTGTTGATAGACTTCTCATATTGGGATCACAAAAAGGGAGGACAACAGAGTGAACCAAAAACTCCAAAAAGACCAGAACCATTCCACAATAAATACACCGCTAATATAGCGAAAAAGCACGGGTGATGAATGGCCAACAAAGAAAAAGATGCCATGGATATGAAAGAGTCATGAGGAAAGAACTTTTGGGAGATCTAGTTTCTAATAAAAAACAATGGTGACGGAGCAAGATAACTACCAGCATCCTCAAAGAACACCCTGATGGTGATAAAAAAAATTCACCAGACAGTTCTTGAAAAAGGTAGAAGCAAAGAGCAAAACATTATGCACAGTAGATTTCATTACGGGTAAAAACCTTTAATTCTTAACTCAAACAAAGATTCAAATGGAAAACCCACCATGTGATGTAACAACCACATGAAAGTACACATGGGTCCCTCCATTGTAATCACCTGTCTCACTCATTCCTAGAAAAAACATTAACAGCAGTATCCCTTCATTGCTTGCATCGGCACCTTGATAACAAGAAAGGTAAATGGGCCTCAGATTAAGCACAACTAGCGCAGAACAGGGGAAAAAATCCAAACCCTAATCTGCGGCGGGCACTACTAAGAGGATGAGATACCGAGAATGAACACATTTACCAAAAGATTCCTACTGATGAACAGATCAAAGGAAGTAAAAATTATGAATGTCACAAAACCAACCTTTTTCGCGTCTGAAATACCTTCAACGCTTGGGGAGAAATATTTACCCACGACATCCAAGCGACACGAAATTCGTGCAAAATCATGCCTCAGGTTACCTAGCTCTTGCATTAGAATGGCACTACGGTTTTTTTCAAACTTAACCAATTGTTTGGCATGCTTATACCGCATCTTTTCAAGCTTCAATTGCTTTTCAAGAAGCTTCGCCTCTTTGACTTTCGCAGGGGAATTGCCAGCAAATTCGGGGACATTTAGGGAGTGAAAAAGCTGGTGTACACATTTCTGCAATTCCTTATTCTTAGCTTTATAATCTTCTAACTGGCGAGACAGGTCATCTGCAAGAGATTTTTCCTTCGCAGCCATCTTAACATTTGCTTCAGCAAGCTTCCTCAGGTCATCTGCTTTGGCACTTTCAGTTTCTACCAGTTGTCTCGCTTTGATCACATTTTGCCTTTCCATTTCCAGCTCTTTCTTCATCTTTTGGGTCTCAGAGGCCAATTTTGATTGCATTGTAAGGAATTCTTTTTGCAAACAATCCAACTGATTTCGAAATCCCTCAGCCTTTGTTGCTTCACTCTTAGCAATCTTACTTTCAGTGGTCAGCTTAGACTTTTCAGCTTTCAACTGTTCGCATGCTTCATCAGCAAACTTCTTATGCACTTCCACTTTCTTCTTTTCAGAATCCAACTGCATCATGCCTTTATTAACAAGTTCCTTTAGTTGCTTAATTTCTCTTTCCTTATCATGCAGAAGACCTCTATCCTCAGCTCCTCTCTGCTGTAAGCAGCAGATTTGAGACTTTAAGGCCATAATCTCTTCTTCCAAAGAGACTCTTAGAGCAACTAATCTACCTTTTTCCTCTTTTTCAACTACTAACATTGACTTAGTTTCTTCCGCTTCTTTCAGTAGTGCCTGTAACTGGAGCAGACAGCCTTCAGCCTTTTTTTCATCAAATAACCCGAGCCCCCTATCTGCATGAGCATTTCCTGGACTAGCATTTACAAGCCTTTCAGACGCATCCCCAGGCTTCAGCTCGGCAATATCACTCTGAGAACATTCCTTTTCGTTGAGTTTCTCAACATGCCCCATAGCCAAATCTGTCTCCAGTTCCCTTCCACAATCATTTTCCTGAATGACGTTTATGGCCCGTTCTGTCTCTTGAACATTAGCAGTACTCTTCTTTAAGAAAGAGATTTCAGACATCAGAGCAGACACTGTGATCTCCAAAGAAGCTCTTGCGGCTGATTCTTTCTCTTTCCCCTCTTTCTCCTGAAGAAACTTCATGTTTGCCTCATCAACTGCTTTCTTCAAAGCCTCCAACTGAACTAAACGTTCCTCAGCAATCGCACTTGCAGCCTTTACTTGATTAGAAGCTTCCATAGAATTCTTCCTTTCTGCTTCTGCCGCCTTAGTAGCAAACTCTGCCCTTGTTTTCTCTTTCTCAAGCAAGTCCCTCAGCCTACCTAATTCCTTATCTCGTTCAGAAGCCCCATCTTTAACAAGCATGAACTCCTTCTCCTTCTGTCGAAAATCTGCACATTCTTTCTTCAGTGCTTCCAACTGGATCTGGTAATCCTCAGCCCTCTTTCTCTCTGTAGCAGCACACTTCATCTCTTTGTCAGCCCTAGTCTTCTCAGTTTTCATGCTCTTCTGTGCCTCAGCAGCCTTTCTTTTCTCTGCATCCGCATTCTTTTTCTCCGCAACTGCCCTTTGAATCTGTTTATCAAGAAGCTCCTTAAGTTTACTTGTCTCCGATTTCCCTTCAGAAACTTGTTCGCGAAGGAGTTTTATTTCCCCATCCTTGCCTTCGGTATCTACATTTCCTCTCTGGCGCAAGGAGGAGACCTCCGACTTCAAAGCAGAAACCTCCTTCTCAAGAGAAAGTCTGACCTCAAGTTCCTTCTGTTTTCTCTCACACTCATTGGCAGCAAGGCCCCGTGCTTCCTCGCATTCTGGAATACGTTCAATTACAGGAAATCAATTAAGCCCAGACCAGAAAACTTATCATTTCATAACCTAGTGTCGAAAGTTCAAAAAAAAAAAAACATAACCAGCTCAAAACAGCTGCATCTTCCAGAGGGGAATGCATCTGAGAATCACATTCTAGCATCTCCACAATGCCTTTGATTTGATTTTTCATCCTCGAACGATCTAATAGGAAATGAGAAAAGAAACTCACCTTTCTTAAGGCGGGCATTCTCTTCCTCAATCTTGTTAATCGATTCCTTTAGGATGGCCACCGCTTTCTTCAGATTCTTGCGCCCCTCCACCAACTGCGAGCACTTCACACTCAACTGCAAAATGAGACCCCAAACATCAAACTCACCTACAGCGGAAACGAATTCGGAGAACACGAAACACAATTGATTCACGAGTAATAAGAGGCAGGCAGGAACACATCCACTTACCTTCTCACAACAGGAACCTACACCCGCCTCCTTCGACGCGACACCCTCCTCCATTGCCTACGGCTACACGCACAGAGAACAAACGGACTGCTCCGTTGAGCGCCTTCTCGGAATCGCTAAGCTCAGCATACAGACTAGAGCGAGGCTTCGGAATCAGGATCCTCCATTAAGAGCAATTTCTGGTTTGTTGGTAGAGTTCAACAGATAGATTCAGCGGGCGAATGGGAAAGCCCTAAACCCCTGGACCGGTAGCCAATCGAAGAGAAACCCTAGCGGTCAGCGTCTGGCCGGTAGCAGCAACGGGTAATGAACCGTACAACCCAACAGATGGACCGATCCTCTTTTTTTGAATGATGAACCAGCCGCCTTTCAGTTCCGGCAAATCGTTCCGACGAAGAAACCCAGGGGATATAAGCCGGGCCTTGCGATATGTGTCATCGTCTTCCCGATAAAGCCCAAATAAATATGATTGGTTCTCCCTCGCTCTTGGTACCTTTTGTTTAGCAACACTTCCTATATATGATGGGCTTCAGTTGCGGACCCAAAATAATTAATCATACTGCGAGCCTGCAACCGCAATCGATCTTGAAATAAACTTAAAATAAAAAATGGAAAATGAAATTTGCTCTAATTTTAGTATGACAAAAAGTTCGGCTGGGTATGATTTTTTATTTTTCTACATATTATTCAAAATAATAATTTTAAAATCAGAACAGTTTTCGAAGTTAAATATAGAAGAAAATATAAAATCACATAATAAAACCTATCTGGATGTCTCACCAAAAAAAAAAAACCTATCTGGATGAGATTCGAAGAAAATCAATATGCATCATCCTCTATAATAATATATAAAAAATTTTCTTAAAAAGTGATTTTTTTATGAATAAGTATAAAGTGGTTTTTTTTCTTAGAATGTTTGTGTTGTTTTTTAAGTTTTGTTAAGATATTTTTTTAATTAGTATTGTTAAGATATTGTTTATAAAAACGACGAAAAATTAATAAAATTTTTGTCAAAAAGATAGTTATAATACTTGGCAGATATGGATTACTGAAGTGTTGAAACTAGTGATCGAAATCATAGTTGTAGCACGTATTTGAATGGGTTCGTTCTGAATACATAAAAAAAAATCAAATCCCACCAAACTCATTATTCTCTTTGTTGGGTTGGATAAAATTTACCCAAAAATAATATCGGTTGGACAAACAAGTTCTTTATATAATGGTAATACTATTGATCTTGAATCTGGAAGTCTCAAATTTGTATCTCTTAAGTCTTACCTAATTAAAAATAAAACTTATAAATTACCGGGGAAAAAATCAAATTTATACCATCTTTGTAAAAAACAGTTTTTGGTTGGATTTTCTTCGACCGAATCCATTCAACTTCGATTGTAAATGCACGATAATGGATTATTTCTTTCATGTCCAATTTATTCACTTTTTGTTGCTAAATGGAGAGCTCAATTAGCCGGGCGAAAACATAATTAATGCAAGAATACAATTTAAATACATCCATAACGAGTTGGTTTTTGGAGGTACGTACCGCATCCAACTGATCAACACATTGTTGATTTGGTTTGATGGTCACTTGTAATTAGAAACTGTAATGGATTTATCTAAATTATTTTCATTCCTATTTTTAAAAATATAAGTTAGTATGAGTGTCATACTAAGAGGAAGTTTTGCAAACTCATTATTCGCACTTTTGAATATTAAATATTAGGGTATGTCTATAGTGATTTGCAAGTCACCGTAACTTGGAGAAAACGATCGACCTCTTCTATTAAGTGGTCGACCAATTTCTAAGAAAATAATCGACCTCTTTTACCAAGTGGTCGACCACTTGAGTCATCTGATCTACCTCTTCCGGAAATAGGTCGACCTGATGACACACTTACCTTCAAGTGGTCGATCTCTTCCACCAAGTGGTCTACCACTTGAGTCAACTGGTCTACCGCTTCAGGAAATGAATCGACCTAATAACACAATTACCTTTAAGTGGTCGACCTCTTCCACCAAGTGAGCAACCACTTTCCAAAAAAATGGTTTACCACTTCCACCAAGCGGTCTGCCACTTCCACCAAGAGGTCTACCACTTGAGGCAATCGGTCTACCGCTTCTAGCAATGGGTCGACCTGTGACACACTAACCTTCAACTTACACTTGCTTGTTGGAGGTAGACCGCTTCCGCCAAAACAGCCTACCGTTTCCGCAAAATGGTTTACGTACCTCTTTCGGCAAACGATTTCCGCTTTCGGAAAACAGTCGACCAGATGACACAGTTATCTTATACGTACATTAGAAAAATAATGGACACGCAACATCTTATCACATGTGGGCAACCATAGCCCTACGCAGATTATAGGCCAAAACAAAAAGAAACGCCCTCTTTTAACTCTTATGGAATAAAAATCCACAAAATCGATGATATGAGATTTATGGACGTTGAAGATGACACAATTGTATAACAAATATAATCTACTTTTGAGCATCTTCATAACAACAATAGCAAGAAAGTTGATCAATCACAAGACAACTATATGATAGAAACAAGAAAACTTAGGATTTGAAGGATAGATGAAAGTCTCTATAAAGTAAGTCAAATATAAAATTAAATATGTGGAACATTTTTCAAATCTACGGGAGAACAATCACTCGAGAAACTTGTCACCTATGCTTGAAGCATTTATACTAATTTTAAACCTCTTAAAACAAGCATATATATTGTTATTGGACTCTAATTGTATATGATGATATCACTAGCAATGGTTCATCATGTGGACCAATTATTGAAAGAGGTAGACCACTTGATGGAAGTGGTAGACCATTTTGTCCAAATAGTTCGACCATATCAATGAAGAGGTCTAACGTTTTGTCCAAATAGGTCGACCATATCAGTGAACAGGTCGACAGTTTTGTGCAAGTCACAGTGACTTGTAAGTTACCGTAGCAAAGTACTAAATATTATTCTATAGACTATTATTATAATGAAGCTTAATAAATATGCAAATTGTTGGTTATAACTTATAACACTAAATGATCCTAATAAACTATGAAATAAAAAAAATATAATAATTGTTGATACGAATTCAAACCATCCAATCCTACAACATCCATTAATTCACAAAACAATACTTAATTTTAGCATCCAATTAGGGTTGGAAGTTTGGTATCGGTATTTAGGATATACCGAATACCGTACCGAATTTATCACTCTTCGGTATTACCGAATACCGGCGTATTTTCCAGGGATTGGGATGAGGATTTATTTTGGAGTGCTATTCGGTATTCAGGATTACAGAATTGGGATCAGTATATACCGAAATACCGAGAAATACCAAAAATTAAAAATTAATTAAATATAGCACACGACTGTTGGTCATTCCTTAATCTTTCACAACTTAGAAGCCCCCATCCAACTCAATTTTGACTTTCCAGTTTAAGTCACTCTCGTCTCTCACCTAATCTCTTGTTATTTTCACCAACACCAAAAAAATAAACACTAGTATTAGTCGTCTCTGCCTCCAATTCTTCAAATTAAAGATTACCAATGACAAGAATTCGAGATGTCACCTTTCCTCCATTCTTCTTATCCATATCCTAGGTCTAGGCAAACTCGAGACTCTTTGCTTAGTCTCTTTGCCTTAAATTAAACAATCAAATCTAATTTTTATATATAATTATTAATTGCAAAGATAATTAACTTCGTATTCGATAATACCGATTGGGATACCGAAGTACCGATTGGGATACCGAAATATTTAGGGATTGGAATTGGGATACCGAAATTAGTTAGGGATTGGGATTGGAATTGATTTTAGGGTGTAATTTGGTATTCGGGATTTTGGTATTTTGTATTGGGATACCGATACCGTACCGATTTCCACCCCTACATCCAATCATCATGTTTTGCATATATATCGAAATACCCTTTGCAAAATGAGGAGCCTAAAACCATCGGTCAACTTTTGTCAAAGATTGTAATATCGTATCAGAGATTTTATTGAAAAAGTTAGTGATAGGGTATTTTGTGTTAAAAAAATATCTATGTTGAAATTGTGGATTAGTCATGGTTCAACTGTTTCGTACCGATAAAATCAGCATATCGGTTTAAACTCTGGTAAAAGGTTATTCCAATCGAACTATCCGTACGATACAGATTCACAAACACTATCTTTTACATGTTTCACTCATTCGCCCCACTCTTCCGAGCATTGGTCAGTCAGGTTCAACAAACCACATTTGCCCTTTTATGTAGTCAGTGAGAGAATTGGAACCGGTCGAGTACTCAGCTATTTAATGGATATCCGTAATAGAGCTCCTTCAATACATGTCACTTAAGTATACTCATTCGCAAATTACGAAAAAATGATGAATTGTAATATAATCTACGATATCAGAAGTGAACTAGCAAGGCTTTCTTGTTAGAACTTGGAGCAATGTGGCCTGTAGTAAGGGCTCAACCATCACATCTCTCACTAAAAACCGAATACAATCAGTTTGATGATGGAATCAAAGGAGCAAAAACGCCAGTGCAGTGAGCAACGTGCCGCTCATCTCAGCGCTGGACTTATATTTGGCTGGTTTTGTTCAATTAGGAGTTAAGACTGAAGACAGACATTCCACGTGATTGCAGACAACGATGCCCTACCATAATAATGAACAAATCTTGGTCTACTTTGATAGAAGAACAGCACTTCCAAATCTGATCCTTCAGCATCTTTCTTATCATTTTATACCCCTTCCTTTTCCTTCTCTGTTTGGGTTCATTTCATTCATTCACGAACACTAGCAAACAATCCCTCTTCAAATGGTTCTGTAAAAGCAACAGCACGGGTCGTAGCGGAATTGAAGAGCGTTAGAACTGTAGTCTGATTGGAGATTATTACTTTGCTTTCCAAGAGAGGGAGAGATAGAAGTCAACATGACAACAGTCAATAACAACTCTCTTTTTTCTGTTAAATATATTTTTCTTCTATTCTCGTCAGAGATTTGAACTCAGAGATGCTCAAGCAAAACCCACATAGCATAGGTACAAAAAACCAGAAGGCTACAAAGTTGTTCCCAAACCCAGATTTTTCCCCTTTAATCTGCCAACCAACCAACCAACCAAACCAATCAATCGAACAGACACAGGAATGAATATTAATATTTTATATATGGTCTAGGGACAGCGGAAAAAAATACACAGCATCGAAAACATCCAGAGAAAGCACCCACCACTACTTCCCCTTTCCTTCTCCTTCCTCCCCCATCAGCTGGTGTGTTCCCGTCTCTCTACTCTGGACTGCACTGGTTCCCATATCCAAACTTATCATCTACTCTTTTTGGCTTCTTTCGATGGAGGAAGTGTTCCAAACACCCTGTCCCACAGGGAAGAAGTGATTCCAAACCCCTTGTCTTGGATTCTGAAGTGGTGATTCATGTGATATTTCTACAAAACCAGATCAACCCACATCAACGTCACTTGCAACCACCACAAATTTGCATGCATTCACATGGAAGTACCGTAGGCAAAGGAGCCTTCTTACCTTGAGATGTTTAGGAACTTCATTCGATGGCTGCCCGTGGTGCAAGTAGTAATGTGTGCAGTCGTACATAACATACCCCAACAAACCACCAGCAAAAAGAGCAGGCGCAGTCGTGGGCGTGGACAGAAGCTTAACAAAGTTCCAGAACTGCCATAAAGAAAAAAGGAGATGAAATTCAAGTCGATTATCCAACAGTGGTATATAAACACTAGTTGGAATCTGCTCCACCGACTCTATTCCTAATATTCCATGCAATGTGTAACTATCAAAAGAAACAAGATAACAGGTAACAATGCACATACTGGTACTAATAGAATAGCTGTTGCTGCGGGAGGAAAGACAAGGCGCAGACCGTCCATGGGATGCTTATGATGGCAACCGTGAAGGAGATAGTGTGCAGTATTTCCCCTGAAGCACGTTGAGCAACACCAAAGATTTATAAACTTGATAAAATGAAGGGTTCCAATATTGTGAATGAACATTAACTTAGGCTCAACCAGAGAGAGAGAGAGACTAACCAGTAAGAAGTTGTCTTAATATGGAAAAGGAAGCGATGCAAGGTGTACTCTACTAGTGTCCATAGGAAAACACCCAAACACAACAACGAAACAACCTCGGGAATAGCGAGGCCCATTCGTGCAGACATCGCAGCGAAATAGCATACAACTGGAATCCAGATGGTTGGAATTGCCCACCAAACTGTACGAGTTAAGGCCTATTGAAGAAATACAATAAAAACTTTTAGATGCATAGTTCGGAATAATAAGCAAAGCTTGGGAAAGCTGGCAAAGTTAAGCAACAAAACAGTACCTCCATAACATCATTAGCAAAGAACCTAGGACCCTCTCTGCTAACAATTGGCTGGTGAACCCATTCATCATATGCCTCACCCAGATGACCAACCTATAGGAAAACCACAAGAGAATGAGACTACTCCAAACATTCAGAAATCATAACGAGAAATCCTGATATGCCTGCAAACGGTTGTAAAGCTTAAATACAAGTAAATGCAACTAGAATAACAGAAAGAAGTAAACTTTAGATGCTATATTTTGAGAGAAGTCAAAAAGCCAAAGTTTGGACAGGAAGAAAAATGAGAACGAGAATCACAGGTGAAAACATTTGGTGATTTGCTTGCTTTGAATAGAATTCAAACCTCCAGATCAACTATGAAATGCAATCAGGTCATCCAAACCGGGATTGCAATTTTACCTGGAAGACAAGTGGTTTATTGAGATCAACTACAAACCCCTGGGCCACCATCTTGAGGGCCTAATTAGCTTTAGCTGGAGAAAGAGGTACTACTACACCAAAGAGAAGAAATATCCATGTCAATCTAACAGATCAATCTTGAAACGTTGCAGCAATTAAATAACTGGCCAAATGGGGTCCATGCAAATCGTTTCATGCTTTGACATTTGGAAAATATAAGATCTATTGATGATGCTAACCAACAACCGTCGAGTTCACGTCGTTCTAAGATGACTCAGATATTTCCCATGACGGAAAGAACGAGAGAACAATCAAGGAGCATCTACTTTAAGCGGGACCCACGAGAGGAGGAAAGGAGCGGGTAGAATTCAACTCTACATCTACATCCACACAAGCTGAATTTTCCATGACGCGGAATTTTGATAGCCATCAGAGCCCAAACTAACTAATATTAATTCGAGAAGGGGATAAGAATCAAGATCTTGCTTGAACTGTACGCAGCTATTCCCATCAAACAGACAAACAAATCGGACAATGCAGCACTAAGAATCGGCTTTCCAGCCCTCAATTACCACGGCAAGCGATTTTCTCTCAAGCCCAACGACAAACACAAAAAAACCACAACGGATTCGTTCAGCTTGACAAGAAATTTCGGGGAAGAATCTAAGAAACAAGAAGCTACCCAGATCCAGAAACCAAAAAATAAGTAAGACCCAGAACCGAAACGGAAGCACGGAGCGGATAGGGGAGCTAACCTTAGAAGCAAAATGCAGGTCGGATCTACAGGCACGCACTCCCCGCGTATGCAGCGAGATTTTCCTTCTGGGAGGAGTTTATCTATCCCTTTGCCGGGTTTGTTTTCCCTCAAATTGGGCTCGTCCGGAAAACAAAGCCACCACAACCACAGTGGGCGGGAGCTGTGGCGCTTTTCCTTGTGCTTCTCCTCCTCTACGTTGTTCGCTTTCTTTCTATCCTTTTTATCTTTTTGCGGTGTTTTTTTTGGGTACTTTCTCGTCGCGTTCGGCAACGGGAGGCAGAGGATTGAAGTGACTGGAATAGGGGGTGCCCAAAAATTGCAGGAAACAATTTACAGGTACTTAAATTATGAAGAGAGGGAAATTGGAGAGATCTGGACCGTTCAGTTTCTTACTTTTTTTTAATCATGGGCCTCTGTTGGGGAAGAAGAAAAACCCGAAATCATCCTGGAGTAACGGGTGCCAGCCTGGCACTTTTCGCATCCAGCTCAGCTCGACAAAAGCAGGGGAATGATGAATGATAATACCATGGGCGAGGCTTCCCGTGTGGGCTCAACTTTTTTTTTTTTTCAAAGTCAGTTTTTATAAAATGAGACGGGTAAATGACACATTTGGTCACTGAGATTATTAAATTGTGTCATGTTTAGTCACTAGAAAAAATTAATATCAATTTTGGTCACTCGAATTATCGAAACTGGTCAAATTTAGTCACTCTCCCGTCAGTTTCCGTCCAACTCCATTAATGTAGTTGGACGGAAACTTTTGGGAGAGTGACTAAATGTGACATGTTTCAGTAATACGAGTGACTAAATGTGACATTTTTCAATAATTCGAGTGACCGGAGTTGGACAGAGGCTACAGAAGAGTGACCAAATGTGACCTGTGTCAGTAATTCGAGTGACCAAAATTGATATTAAATTTTTCTAGTGACTAAATATGACACGATTTAGTAATCTCGGTGACCAAATGTGTCATTTACCCAAAATGAGACATATAGAGAAAATAAAAAGAACGCGGGAGTCGACCAATAGTCGAACTCCTGATAAGAGAGCCTTTTATGCCACATGATGGGCAGCCCTATTGAGACAACGGAGAACAAAACAGAAAGAAACCCAACTACAGAGAGAAGCCGAGCTCTGAGTATCCTGCAAGATAGTTTCATCCTGATCATGAGCCAAGTCACCTGTCTGAGGAAGTCTCTCCGATAACGGGAGCTCTTCTGCGTGCCCCTACAAAAAAAAAAAAAAAAACAAAAACAAAAACACACAAGCGTCCCCACTGTAGGACAACTAAGCTCCACCAAATGGACTTAAACAAGCCATTAAGGCTTAGTCGGATACACCGAATCCAAAACTATGTCAAATTAATTTTTTTTAAGAATAGTTAAAGAAAAGCAAAAAAATAAAACGGACGAAATTGACAAATAAAATGAATAAAAGGGAGGGTAAGTATCAAAAGAAAACAAATAAAAATTACTAATAAATAATGAAGGAAAAGTATAGCGGTTAATTAAAAAGATAAAGAAAATAAAAAATGACTAAATTGCAATAAAGTAAAAAAGGAAACTGAGGAGTCTGTTTGAGTTACTGATGACTCGGTATTTGCACATGTTTTCCCCTTTGTTTCTTGATTGTTTGAGCTTGAATTATCGTGTATTTGGCCTATTTTATGCTAGGTTGTGTTCCTTTGTCCCATTTCAGGTCCTAGCACATAAAGTGAAGCATAGGCGCAAGTTTCAAGTCAATCAGAGATCAATTGACGATTCGAGAGAAGAAACTCGGGCATGACCTGAAGAAGAATGGATTTCTACCTCAATTTATGGACAAAGAATCATGCAAGCTTGTTATGAAAAGAAAGAGGACGAGACTACGAGCGTTTGGGATCAAACGGCGACTGAATCGGAGGTCAAACGAGCTCAAAAGAGATCAACGAAGCTTAGGAGTGCATGCTGGAAATTGTGCACGGCCAGAACCTCAATTTGCACGGCCGTGCAAGTAGGGGGTGCGAGTTTCAGCGGGTATAAAAGCTGTTTTTGCGATTTTTGGAGAGAGAGAGCTGGGTTTTGGATCCCAAACACCCAAGGGACGAACCCTAGAGAGAGAGAGCGACTTGGGAACATTCTTGGAGCTATTTTGGAGGATTTCTTCGCCATTGGAGCTCGGGAATCAAGGTTGGAGATGGAGATTGAAGATCTAGATCAGATTTCTGCAGTCCCTCTCTTCTCTATGGAGTAACTTCCCTTCACTTAGCTTTTGAGGAACCCTAGCTATGTTTGTTTGATTGGATGATTGTATGAGTACTCTGACTTGATAATCTTGAGTTCATATTCAATCTATGCATGATTTCACGATTCAATTCTGCTTTAGTCGAGATTATTTATTTTGCTTTGATCCTATGAGAGCGAATACCTGATTAGGTCAATAGAGCACCATAGATTGATAGTAGTGGATCGATTGCTTTAGTCGAGGGTTGATTCACTGCTTTGTATCGATTGAGAACCTCATTCGATAGAGGGAGTCTAGTTCAGAACGCCTTGATCGATTGTTCTAGAGAAGGATACATCCCTCTAGGCAATTGACTCAAGAGGGCCTTGTTCCTTTAGTCGAGACTCAAGGTCTAGTCAAGGATTCTCCGCATTGTGAATGAAAGTGAAACAAGTTAGAGATCATCAATCGTTAATCTGGCTAGTGGCTAGGGGGAATCATACCTAAGTGAGTTCCCAACCTGTAATTAGATTAACTTTAACTGTAGTTTGCTAGAGTAGTTTTAGTTCTTTCATCTTAATCTGTTTTGCTAGATAATGAATTGAAGCTGAGTAATAGTAACTCTAGAGACCCGTGGATTCGATATTTATTACTTGTGCCACTATACTGCAGTCCCTTTCATTGGTTACACTTGGCCATTGTTAGGAGTTGTGTTTTAGCGAGTCAAGTTTTTGGCGCCGTTGCCGGGGACTTTCTAGAGTATTAGGAAAGGCAGAAGTTTGTTACTTTAGCGTTTTTCTTTTCTTTTCCACCCTTGCTTTTCACTTGGGTGTTTTGTTTTTGTTGGTGCAGATCTGAATCATGGATCCTCATGGCTTCTCCAATCATTGGGGGTATCCACCACCGTCCGAGTAGTATTACCCCGAGACCCCCTGGAGCAATCAAGGAGGAGAAGACTATGGATCCGGGTTCCAGTACCAACCCCCTTTCTATGGAGAAAAATCTGACCCCTGGGCATATCAAGAACAATCTCATTACCAAGAAGACTTTCTCCCACAACCAGAAGGGCCATCGGCGCTGGAGTTACCCATGGCGGCCTTCACGGGCCATTCTGCAGAGCCATGCTACACTCCACAGCCAGATCCAAACTATGAACTGAGGCTTCTCCTGGAGCAGTTTGTTCGGGACTCCGAGAGACGCAATCGCAAGATGGACCTCCTTTTCTCATCCTTTGCTCCTCCTAACTCTTCATCCATCCGTGAGTCGGAGGAGAATGTTTCGCACTCATCAAAGCAACCAGAGCGGGTTGAGCAGGTTTGTGCACAACTTGCTCAAGATCACCCGTCTGCTACCATACTAGAAGAGGGCGAGGAAGAAGAAGGCTACAAGGACATTGTGGAGCAAACAGAAGTTATCACGGAGAGCTCCCGTGAAGATCATGATCAAGAATGTCCTATCGTAGCCGACCACCCCTTTCCACATCCCACACTGAGCTTTGAAGAGGCGGGCATGAGTGAGGAGATGCAAGAAGATCTCATGAAAGAAATTGCTTGGCAACTTGCTCTCCAATCCGTGCTAGAAGAAGAAGAGCAAGAAAGGGTGCAGAAAGAAGTTGTGGAGGATGACAACAGTGAAGCAGAAGTAGTTCTTGATTATTTCCCAGGGGTGATACCACATGAAGAAGGAAGGGAGGTTGAAGAAGCAATTGGCGTCCAGGCTGAGGATGGAGTCGAGGTGGAAGAGGCTTGCACCGGCCATGAGTTACTTGTGATATCTCCACCAAACTTCGAGGAATTGCTCAGCAAGGACCCATTTGCAGTGTCTCTTTGCCAGACCAAGGCCACGTCGACATCGGTCCCTCTTGGTGGACGTGATGGTGGCCAATCGATGCTGTCTTATCTGATTTGGGGCAATGAGACGAGAGAAGAGAAGAAGAGGTCTCGAGGGTGGAGACTTCATCTGCATCAAGTGCACGAGCCTTCATCACCTGCCACACCACCTGCTTGTGACTTGAGACTCCACCTCATCGACGAGAACCTCAACTTCAAGGAGGTTCTAGCATGGACCGAAACTTAGGAGCCATCGTCCGGCTCACGACGTGAAAGAAGCGCTTGTTGGGAGGCAACCCAACCAGTCGGTTTGCATTTCTTTCTCTATTTCTCCTCGGTTGAGTCAGTTTTGTTATTTGATTTTAGAGTCAATAGCTCAACCTTTGTGAGATTTTGTGTGGTGTTTGTGTTCTGATTACTCTCTTTTCCTGGAATGCACCGCCTGACCCGTCCATCATCATTCACCCTTGATCTGGTAACTTCGTTCTACCCTCCTTATCTTTCCTCCATTGAGGACAATGTCGTGCTTAAGTGTGGGGGGGTGTTCGATTATGTATGCGGGTGAATGTTTGGCTGTTTGTGTGCTTGGAGCCTAGACCACTGTCCAAATTTTGAAATTTGAGGGATCCAAGTACGTGTCCCTTGCAATTGCCTGCTCAGTATGCTTTGAATTGACAGTCTTTATAGTAATATGCAACCTAGGGAGGTAGTGTAGCACTATGGAGGATGTTGATGCATTTAAGAAGTCTCATTGCTTCTTCATATTGTGTTGGTTGATTGAGTGAATTAGTGATCTTAGGACCCTTGAATTGTGTGGTGTTGTGGATTCTCTACCTGTCATGGACTCTTGTATCATGTTTTGAGTTTAACAGGTGCTCGAAAATGTGCTTCAAAATAACGTCTCCCGTGCGAATAGGGCGAAAGTGTGTAAGGGGAGACGGGAATTCGTTCCCAATTTCCACCTACTACCTCCAGCCCCCTTACATGTCTTTCCCCCGCACGAGGCTCGAGACATCCGCTCCTGGCATGGCCGGTAAGAGCAGGTTGGGACCCTTGAAATAAAATAAAAAAATAACAGAAAACAAGCAAAACAGAAAAGAAAAGGGGTTCCAACCATCTTCAAGAAGAAAATAGAGCACCTTGAAAAATGTGAGTCCATGATCTTTTGTTTTTGAGAATCTCTTCATCCACAATTCATTTGTCCTCTGTTCACTATTTGCCATGATGCCAACTCGATACTAGTGCTCTCGCCGAAGAAGCTATGAGATGACTTGTGTGTCGGTTGACCTCGTAAGTTGCTAAATGATCTAGGAAGTCCTCTACCTACGATCTGGGGTGTTTGTTGCTATAAAGGTCTGGAGAGTTGCATTGGTTTGAGTTAGGTTTGCTTGG